GGGACTTTACATTGACCTCTAATAAACTTCATCCATTAAATTTAGCCTATGATCCCAACTTTTTGATATCTTTATTGGATTTCACGCTGTTGTCTAGTTTGTAAACTGTCTGCCTAGGCTTTCCATCAGCCACGTATTAGATAAGCACACCATGCATGCCTTCATTTAGGTAATTGATAACACCCTGGGCACCCTTCAGAGAGGTCGCTCAAGGTTAACATCAATCTATTAATCAGCATCTTGAAAGTCTAGTCCAACCAGTTATAGGTTCTCCTAACCTTAACGTTATCCAGCCATATTTATTCGTCTTGTCTATATGGATAACATGAGAAATTTTGTTAAATGCTTTTCTAAAATCCACGTTCTCTCAGTCCTGCCTTAATCTTTGATACACTAGATGTTTTAAAATAAATGAAATTTGGTCAACAGACCATCTGCTTAGCAAACTGTCATGGTTCTTGGTGACTCTTGCTTCTCTTGCGAGAGAAGGTGAGAGGGCACTGGTGAGAGCCTCACTCCTCTTGTGCCAGCTGCCACGGGGAGCTTCAGGCCAGTAGACCCTATCGACTCATCTTTCCTTCCTCTGAGTTTGTTGAAATCTGTTTTCTAGAAGAATCCAGGGAGCATCTGACTATGCCATCTTTCTGTCATGAACTCTAAGATAAAGTGGTAATTTATCCCAAGGTTCCTGTCTTGTCACCTTACCAGACAGCTCCTTGTTGCAGTCAGGGTCAGGTCCAGGCAGGTCTCCTGTCTCCTCTGCCGCCAGCCCCGTCCAGAATTGCCTCGGCCACAGAGTCCTGGGGGCCACTGCACTGCTGTGTCCTGCTTCCCAGAGGGCTTCAGGAATAGTTCTCCCTTCCTTCTTCCCAGTGGGCTGCCTTCTGCATGTTCTCATAATCCTTTCACTTCTCGTCTTCTCGCCTGTAGCCTCCTCAAGAAGTTTTTCTCTGAAGAAATTTCCTTTGAGCCCACCAGAGGACCAGAAGGTGTGCCTTATTCAGACACCTTGATGTGTTCACCTGGGGGATTGCTCGTCAGCCCCAACATCTCTCCACAGTTCTCCAGATGGTCTGGAAGGGAGGGCGTGGGAAAGGGCTGCGGGTGAAGAGGACCCGCCTCGGGCTGAGGCATCTCAGGCCCGCTGGCAGGTGCAGCTGTGCTGTGCTGTCCACTTGCCATGGTCTCGTAGTAGCTGAGAGAGGGCCTGGTGATGAGTGCGCATGTGTGTGCATAAACATGCACAGGGGTCTTCAAGAAGTTCACGGAAAGATTCATATGATCTATTTCCATTTTTCTGCGAACTCTTTGACGTACCCTCGTGTGTGTGTATACATAGTGTAAATATATAGTATTTATATATTACATGTCCTGTAACTATATGTGATAAAATTTACATATCTGTGTAAACATTTGTTTTCATATTATATGTAATATGTATCTACATAAAGAATGCCATTATTATTGGTTTCCAAGTTTTACAAGTTACTTTTTTCTCCTCAACTTTTATTTAAAGCCCTCCGAGCCAGTTCAGCCAGTCTGGGCAAACCCGTTCTTCCTCACGGCATCATAGCTAGTGAGGCAGGAGCACAGCAGGAGGTCAGCCACACAGTGCAGAAAGCCAGTCCTGAGGGACCACCTGTGTTTCTAGATCCTTCTCTTTCAAAGACATGACCATCAGTTGGAAGGAGAGATGAAAATATACTCCTAGTGGAAATAGGGAGAAACTGCTTAATGGGTAAGGAATTTTACTTTGGAGAATGGAAATGTTTTAGAACAAGGTAGAGGTGGTGATTGCACAACATTGTGAATGTGCTAGAAGCCACTGAATTGTTCACTTTAAAATGGTTAATTTTATATTATGTGAATTTCGCCTCAATAATTTTTTTTTTTTTAGTTTTCCTCCCCGCTTAGATCTTCTCACTTCCTAGAAGTGATGTCCAAAGTTCTTCCACCCATGGCTTTGGTCCCCAGCACCAGCAGGGTGGGTAACAAGTCAGCTGGCTCACCAAATATTCAGAAAGGTTGGGTCTGTGCCCCAGGCTGGAGCGCTCTGCCCAGTTCACCAGCTCCCTGCCCCTGCCCCAACACAGCCATCAAGCCCATCGGTCCCTGCCCTGTGCTGGGGACATGGGAATGCAGAAGCAGAGGAGAGGAGACACAGCCCTGGCCAGATGCCCAGGGAGGAACTCAGGGAAGGCTTCCTACAGGAGAGGTACTCAGCAGACCCTGGAAGGAGGGCCAGGGTACAAACAGTGGAAGGAAGGGAAAAGGCAGCAGGGCCTTAAATGCCAGTCAGGACCCAGTCTTGGAAATCCTCCCCTTTCCTGCTCTTCAGAAACTCAGGAGGGACAATCTGGGGGGCCTCCAACTGGAGAAGAGATTCTGACTAGGGAGGAGATTCTGAATGGGGAGATTCCGAGTGGGGAGGGGCCTCTGAGTGGGGAGGGGCCTCTGAATGGGGAGATTCCGAGTGGGGAGGGGCCTCTGAATGGGGAGATTCCAAGTGGGGAGGGGCCTCTGAATGGGGAGATTCCGAGTGGGGAGGGGCCTCTGAGTGGGGAGGGGCCTCTGAATGGGGAGATTCCAAGTGGGGAGGAGACTCCGAATGGGGAGGCACCACCTTCCTTCCTCTCCAGCCCTAGTGCTTCCCAAGTCTCAGTTCCTGGGTGAAATTAGATCTTTGCAGATCACCTTACCACCTTTTAACACACAAGTTCTCTAAACATACACTGACATTTAATAGAGACAACTCTCACCAGTGAGGGGCAGTTCTTCACCCCTCAACACTAATAACGCCTTTAAAACATCAAAGGCAGAAAGCCTGGTGAGTGAAGGACGGGTGCGGTCTCCTGCAAATGAATGGGGAGTGGGTCTTCAGACAGCTCGTGCTGAAGATGAGCTCACTGAAACATACCCAGGCATCTGTCACTATGCTGGCTGACTGCTCACAGTTTCCACGACCCTTGTGCGCAGAGCCATGGGCATGCAGAGAGGGCTTGGCTGTGGACGCTGCCCTCTGTCTAGTGGGCAGGTGAGGGTGTGTACAGAGAGCAGAAAGTGATGCAGGCCATGGCGGTGACAACAGTAGGCTTTGGGGATGTAGAGGATAGCCACAAGCAGGCTGCAGCATCTAGGACTTGGGATCATTGTTTCCTCCCTGCATGACACTGGCAAGCTCCAACCTCTAGGAGCCTCTGCTAGGCTGTCAAAATGATCAGAAACAATACAAGTGCTGCATGCCATGCCTGTCTTGGCGGCACCAGAAGTCAGGGTCCTGTGAGGGCGCACCGGCTCATGCCTGCAGTAGAACTGGCCTGGCCTCTTCTGGAGTATTGGGTGGACTTGGTTCTGTTCCTCTCTAGGAGGCTTTGGGGCTTTCCAGGGATCCTTTATTCACTGTTGAATTTTTTCAACTATAAATGAGCATACATGCGTAGGTGCTCAGATTTCGCTAGCATGTCTGAAGGTATGACATATTGTTTACGATTACTTGGGGCTTTCCCCCTCCCTCCTTTCTGGGGAAGTGTTGCACTGTTCCAGCCCTTAGCCCCTTTTCTGCTGGGCAGTTCACACAGATTGCAGGGGCCACCTGTGACAGGAGAAGCCTCTGACCACAGATGTCTCTGTGAGAGCCCGGCGGCTGCGCTTTGGATAGAAGCCTTCCAAAGAGGAGGGAGGTTTCCAGAGAGCAGCTGGAGCCTGCTGTGCTGTATCTTTTTCTTCAAACTTACCAGAGACAGTTTTATTTTTTCTTCCCTAAGATAAATCATGAACATAGCTTTAAATGAGCCGTTTGGCTCCTCTAGCTCATCAGAGAGGATTTGTCCCAGGCTTCTTTCCTTTCCTTTATTTCCTTTACTCCTGGTTTATTGCCTGTGCTTCTGCTGATCTTCACCAGGACTGAAAAAACTGTCCACCACTCATACACCAGGGAAGTCCTAATTTCAGAAGACGTTGGGGGAACCAAAGAATGTCATTTCCCAGGGAACCTGCTCACCCAGGCTGCTATTCTATTCACCCCGTTTCTTCCTAAAACCACAGTTTACCACGAAGCCATTGCCCTCGGGGTAAGGCCCACCCCATTGGCTGGGCTGTAGGACCTGCGAAGCCCAGGTTGGCCTTTGCTCATACCTGACTCTGCTCAGACCTCCTGGAGAAGCCCGACACCAGGAGACATCTCTGCCCACCTGTCTCAGCAGCCCCTTGGCTGCCGCGCATCCCTTGTTGAGTATCACTGTTCCTCCTATGTGGCAAGACTTCCAGTGCTGATGTGGCCCTCTAACATTGTAATGCATGGAGAGAAAGCACTCGTGGTGGCATGCCCCAGGTTGTGCTTTCCTCGGTGTGCCTTGGATGGTGACGACCTGGGGACAGGGTGAATGGCGGGAGGGGGGGGGCGCTGTGGAAAAGGACCCCTGGTTTTTTCATTCATTGGGTACCCTTTCCACACCCTTTCTCTCGTGTCCTGTTAAAATGAAGCAGACTGCTGAGCCCTGGGTTAGGCCTGGAAGCCCCAGGATTAAGTGACAGAGTCAACGATGGTAACCGTGTGACCTCCCATGAGAACCCACTCTGTGTCCGGCTCTGGGCAAGTGCCTTGCACACTCCACTCTAACTCATAAACACCCCTTCCCCTTTTAAATGTAACTTCAGGTGCTGTCAGCCCTTGGCAGCTCCCAAACTTACAGATTGGAGGCCAGATTCTTGGGAGGGGCGGAGAGGACAGGGTCTAGACCAGCCCTTCTCTGCTCCCAGAGCTCTTGTCTACACGTCTGCCTGGTGTCGGGGGTGACAAGGTGTCTGCCTCCCTCATTAGGTTGTGTGCCCCTGGGAGCAGGATGGTACCTGCTGTCACCCCATAGCTCCCACTCACCTGTGCTGAGCATCGCCTGGCTCCAGTCAGTGACTCATTCGTGCTCCCTGTGTTGATGTCTTAAGTTACTGAACCTTGAAAATGTCTTCAATGCCATTTTCTCTCCTTTTTTCTTCTTTTGCAGCAATGGATGGTGTGCCTTTTATGATTTCAGAAAAATTTTCTTGTGTCCCAGAAAGTGTAAGTTTTATGCATGATTGCCTTTCCTTCCTGCCACCCAGCCTGAGTTCCCTCTGTCCTGATTCCTGCAGCATGCGGGTTGTTCTGGTGGCCCTCACACGCCCTGCCCCTGGCGGCATCATTCCTCCCTGTGTGCTTTCTCTCCTACTGGAAGCTGAACCCTGCAGCCCCATGACCGTGACTTCCTGAGAGTGGGGAGGGCTGTACTCATCCCTGAGCCCTTCAGCTAGTGCCTGATATAGTAGGTGCTTGAGAAGTAAAAGTGGAGAGTGAGACAGACGGGCAGATGCGCTCAGCGAAGCTGAGCCTTTCCATTCCAAATGTTACGGTGAACTGAGCTGAACTTCACTGGTTGTGAATATTTTTTGTTTCCCAAGTTCAGCTTAGTAATTTTATTTAACAGTGACAGTTTCCTTTCCATTTTAATTGCTGCGTTCTGTGCTAAGTGCATACTCTGCTCTGACTTGGAGGCCTCTAGCTGTGTGTCTCCTGCTCATGCCAGGCCAGCCTTGACCATATGTACACAATAGCACACTCAGCCCAGACTGAGCACCAGGCCATCTTTAATGACAGAGGGACTGGGTGAGCTGGCTGGGACCAAAGGCCAAATCTAGGCCATGAGCGGTGCCCACCATACCCAGTGCCCACCATGCCTAGCTCTGGGGGGCTCTGCACTGGGCTGCAAGACCTGCCTGGCACTCCTGGGGTCCTCTCTCACATGGTGCCTGTCCCCCAAGATGGCAGCAATCCTCTCTCAGTAGAACAGACCTGGTCCATGGCAGCTCAGTAAACTTGTTTCTGGATTTTATCCTTTTTGCAGAAGTTTGCTTTGAGTAGTTAATAAACGTGAAGGCCCCACTCTGGGCACCAGCTAAAGAACCCTTCAGTGTTTTTCTTGGATCTAGTTTAAAACCACCCGGCCTGCGATTTGACCTGCTCTGTAGTTTCCATTTTCATGAAATATAATAGGCCTCCTCTGAACCCTTCTGGTAAGCAGCTTAATCTTGAAAAATGCTTGTGACGTGACATGCAGAGCTTGAGTAACTTCGGCCGACTCCACTTGGCCACGTTGCCATGGAGACACTGGCGCCTCTCCCGCCCATTCCCTTGGCGAGGCTGCTCTGCCCTGCTTACCAGCTCCAATTGGGAAAGTTTAGTGGGGCAGTTAGAGCCTAATGATGCAACAGCTGGACCTCTGCTGGATCCCGGGCAGGCAGGCAGGCGGCCCCATTCTCCAGCACTCGGGTTGGCAGCCCAAAGACAGCCAAACTGTTTTGTGGCTACTGGCAGAGCAGCCCCAGGAGCTGAGCGGGTAACTCGGTGGCCCTGGCCCAGGACAGCCCTTGCGAATGTGCTGCTGCGGGTGCTGCTGACTCAGCAAGGGCCCAGGCCAGGACTTGGCAGCACCCAGTGCTGAGGCTTCCGTGTACCCCTCTCAATTAAAACCCCAGTAGCCCTCCCGCCCACATGGCTTTTTAACAGGCGGAGAATGATGAAGTTATTCCACCCACGGCTGCATGAGAGGAGGTGCTGAGCAGGAAATCCTGCTGGCCTGGTCGAGGCTACAGCCCTGCTTTCACCTCTGGGCTGCTGCAGTCAGAACCATGGAGACCCCAGGGTTCTGTCAGGGACTCTCGGGTTTCACCTGCTTATGCTGCCGGCCACTGGCCTGGGCTGCAGGAGGCTGGGCTGAGTGCCTTTCTGGGGGAGACAGAAAGAACACTGATGTGCCCAGAAGGGATTCGGACCAGCGGCCTCTGTACCTCTCATCCTAGGCTTTTGCGGGCCTCCAGCTAAAGTCCATTGCCATGAGCACTTGGTTTTTTATGGTATCTGTTGAAAGGCCAGCATTTTCAAAAAGAAAGGTCTCTGTGAAATTATAGAAACCACCATTAAGCTGCACTGTTATCATTTTTCACCACCTTTGATTTCTCAAATGATAATTGATTGGCAGTTGTTCCATTTCATCTGGCATTTTCAAAGATCTGGAATTCCCCCCAGCTTCTTCCCTGGATCCCACAGAGTCCTGGATGAGAGACTCCTGGAATTCCATAAACCTGCTGCCACCACGTAGATGCAGCAGTCAGGGTGGCCTCTGGTGAGAGCCTGGGCACCTCCAGCCCTACAGCTGCAGCAAGAAAGAGCAAACATTGTCCACGTTTTGGGGTTTTTTGTTTGTTTGGTTGGGGTTTTTTTGCAGAGGGAGAAGAAAGACAAAGTTGGTCAGCCACAGCCATGGTCCTCCAGGAGCCCCAGGACCATCCTGGGTGCTGTGGTCCCACAGCACGAGGGGTCCCCATTGTCAGCCACATTTTCCTGAAGCATGCTCAGTGTTCCTTTGTCCCTCTACCCTCACTAATGACCAGAGTCTGCTGATGAGTTTCCTGTGGAAAGGGGTGGAGAAATGCTAGATGACAGGGTGGTTTGAGATTTCACAGTTGTCATGCATAAAAGCAAATGTGAAGGAGCATTTTCCAGCCGTTTAAAAGTATGACTTGATCTGTGTTTTCAGATGCAGCCCTTTGATCTCTTGGGAATCACCATCAAATCTCTAGCAGAAATTGAAAAAGAGGTAAGTAGCTGCCCAGAGTGGGGGCAGGTGGGACCCAGCCAGCCCGCTCACCCCAAAGCCTCTTATGCCCCATTAGGGATCTGGTCCAGGAACAGGAAGGACAGGTGCCGGGTGCCCTTCTGAGAAAAACCCTTCCATTTCACTCACATTTCTTTCTCAGAAAAAGTAACTCACTTTTAATGTATTTACTTCTTCCAGTCAAATGTGACCAATGTCTTGTCTTCTCTAAGTCAGAGGTTTTAAGTGACTGATGGAGCCATAGATTCTGCACATTTTTAAAAAACGTCTCGGCTTACAGAAGTTGGGGGTTGAGGGGTGGGCACGGGGTTGGCATTTCTTTCTCCTTCTATTCCTTTGCCACCAGGAGGGTTTTGGGGAAATGACAGAGCCTCTTCATGATTTAGAGGAAGGGTCAGTATATATTCACTGTGTTTGGTAAGCCAGACCCCACTTGGCAGCCTGGTTTGAAATAGTTTGGACTTTTTCCTAATAAAAAAAAAAAGAAAGAAATCCAGGGTTGGATTACAGACGAGAACCCTGAGGAAAGAGGGCTGGGATAGTGGAGTTGAGGCGGCCGGATCTGCCCAGGCTCTCCCCATTTTCATAAGACAGCGTTAGCGTTCGCGTCTTCTCGTATGTACAGAAGGCTGTTAAGCAGTCACGTGCTACAGCCAGCTCTCCTCTGAGAGGAACATTTGTCTCAAAGATGGAAATGGTAGAACCATTTCAATATTCTCAGTTCCTTTGGGTTTTCTCTTGTGTACCCAGCTCGCAGAAGCAGGCTGCATTATTGAAAGATGGCTGAAAACAAGGAAAATTGAATCAATGTAGTACAACAAATTTCTAAACCTGTCATAGCAAAAACAAGACAAAAAAGTCCCCCTTTGTCTTTGATTTTCAGTAAATTATAAAAACCAACCTGATTGTCACCTACAGATTTTTTTTCGTTTCTTTTCTTTTTTTTTAATGGTAACTTAGGGAAAAAATGGCCAGCTCCTACATTAAAAATGTAAGTGTGCATAGAACTCCATGTCTGCCCTTCTCAAAAGCAAGGTAGTTGTGGATGGACTGAGGGCCACCTGCTATGAAGGCCGCCTTTGCAGGGCCCTGCGTAGGGTGGAATCTGGTGAATGTATGGGCAAGGCCTTGGGGGGCCTGCGCTAACTGCAGGTGGAAAAACAGGGGTGGCCTCGGACATCTGGACAGCCCAGCTCTGCGGGCTGGGGGCAGGTCACACCCCTTCTCTGCTTCAAATGGGGACGGCAGTAGAACCCATCTCACAGGGTTTTGTGAATACTAAATGAAGACATGTGAAAACAAGCTCCCCATCAGTGTGCGTTAGTTGTGCTGGAAAAAGAGCTTTCTCCCACCCCATCCTACTCAGTGCTACCTGCTAGCCGTAACCTTAGCACCGTTTACTGAAGCACCTGCCGTCTGCTCAGCTCAGGACTCAGGACGTCGCATACGTTATCACTGGTTCTCACCCCAAGCCAACTGAGGGGACCTCATTCCCATGGGTCAGAAATTGAGACACCAAGAGGTGAAATCATTTGCCCAAGACAAGATTGAGACGCAGCATGTTGTACTCCAGATCCTCTCCATTGTGACGGAAAGTCTTGGACTTCATGTACCTCTAAGGAGCTCTCTGGACTGTGGGGACAGTGGGGCTTAGGAGGTCAAGTCCACCTGGGTTCTGACGCTGGCTGGCCTCCGAGTTACTGTCATGGGGTAAAGTAGGAGAGGGCACCCGTTTAAGGCCCAGGGCATATGGCAGGAACCCCCAAAACCTTAATTCTCTTTCCCGCTCTAAGGACTAAACCGTCCTGATGCCAGGTGCTCTGAGAGGGTGTGGCCGCCCCACTAGGCGCAGAGCCAGGTGTGGGAGATGGCTCTGGAGTCAGCGCCTGGCCTTGAATCTCAGCTCCCCCATTTAACCTTTCTGAGCCTCAGCCTCCTTTGCTGTAAAGTCAGGGTAGTAATAAAAATACCTACTCGTGCTATTCATGGGTTTACCTGGGACGGTCATGTGCATGGCTAGAGTAGCACCTGCCACAGTCATGCTCAGTTACCATTCACGGTGGCTGCTGCTGTCATGGTCGCAATGATTATTGGTACTGTGGTCCTTGGTCCACAAGTGCAGGGCGCCAGTCAGTGTGGATCTGTCCCTGTTTCAGCATGTCACACCACTCTAGTGCTGGTGTCCAGGGACTGTTGTCCCAGTTGACCAAGCCCAGCTTTATTTCTCATTTTTAGTGATGGGTCTGTATTCACTATTGACGTAAATTAAAGTTGACTAAAAGAAAATGTGGGGAAATGAGGAGAGGTAAGAAGCATTAAAGAGGGTGTAAAATCATAACAAGTATCAAGAATGCTGAGGAGTTTTCATTTAATCTGAGGACTTGGAAGTTATTTACACCAGCCTTTCACATGCATTTAATGGTTATTAGTATGTTGATATCCACACACTGGTGAGCTGGCTCCTCCTTCTGCAGCAATGTCAGAGGCTTTTCTCCATAAGTAAACCTGAGGTTGCTCCTTTTAGCCCCTGAACTCAGCATCGCTCATGGGAGGTGGAGACCAAGGAGGAGCTGTGCCCACGGCCCATGGGCTCCGCCATCAGGCTCCGCATGTTGGTCCTGGAGCAGGCTGGGTGTCCCCTGGTCAGGACAATTTTGCTTTTGTTCTGTCCAATTCCCAGCAAGCCTGGCTGCTCTTGCTGAGGAGCCTGGGAGTGGAGGGATTTGGGCTCGGAAATTTACTTTGCTCACTGTAAAACTTTGCACTTTACACCATTAAACCAGAATTAATAAGCAGAGTTCAATAAATAAGGCAGGAGACTGCCCTTGGGTTCGGGGGCACAGATGCGTGACCTGCCCATCTCCCCGCCTGTACTGAACACCCTGATCCCACCTGGGGCTGCTAAGGGGGGCAGCATCTGTTCAGAGGCAAGCGCTTCCCCTCCTTTAGGCCTCCTTACCCTGTGGGAGGAAGTGGTGTCCACCCATCCTACAGGACAGACCTGGACACAAGACGTTCAGTGACCTGCCAAATCCCACGGCACCCACGGAGCTATCACTCAGTGTGGCCCAGAGCTAACCCAAGAACTGAGTGTGACCCTGGCTGAATATACTACAGTCTTCATCCACCAAAGGGTAGTCCTCACTTTAAGGGACATGGAAGTATGTATCCCTGAAGGCAGTGTGTCATTCTGTCCATCCAGAATCAGGGCCAGTTTGTTTTCCTTCCAGCCTTAACTGTATCCACCCTGCCCTGCCTGGGGGATGTTTCTGAATTTAAGACCAAGCCTGGTCACCACTATTTGGCTTCAGAGGCAGGTTACCCCATGAAGGAGCCCCCTGACCCTGTCCACCTTGAGCTTGGTGGTTAGGGATGCAAGTGGGAGAGCCTCAGATAAGCACCAGCAGCCAAGGGGGACATGCCAGCATCCAGCCAAGGAGAGCCTCCCTGGCACCCCCACTGCAGCAAGGACCCACAGTGGACCTGAGGCACCCAGCCCAGGAGCTGCCCGGCCCTGAGTACCAAATGGAGAGGGACTTGGTATCACCCAGGCTGTGGGTGGGCTGTGCACCTCCGGCCCCCAGGAACTTGATGTGCTTAGGAGAGGGTGTGACACTCAGCCCCAACAGCCAGGAAGACCTGGAGCACAGAAGGAGGGCTAAGCATTGGCGGGCAGCGCGGCCATAGCCACAGACACGGCAGCCCTCAGGTGCCAGTGTCACAGGCAGGACACAGTTTCCCGTTCTGGATGCCTGCAATAGGATGAGAAATCTGCCACTTAGGTTTGACCCTGGAGCAAGTCCTCTGGCTGCCCCACCTCAGGTTGGAGCATAGGCCTGGCCCACCCAGGGACACGGCAGGGCTTTCTGAGCAGCTTGCGCTGGCAGGGCACAGTCAAGTGCCTGCCGCTGCCTGCTGTAGTCAGGGGTTTCCCCAGGAGTTGTGGTGTGAGAAGTGCTTGGGTTAAGTTTCATAAGACACCCAAGGAAGGTCACGTTTTAAAGTTAAAAGCAAGATAGATGCCATTGAGCAGATTTTGAAAAAAAAAAAATTCTTGGAAGGACAAAACCTCTCACAATTCAGACATACTCTGTGGGTGGTTGAGAGTGAATGAAGCCATGATTAATAAAGAAATTCAAAGTCTAATGTCACTCTCCTGGCTCCTGATGACGTAGTAGCGGTCTCCTGCCTGGCCCCCCGTCTTCCAGCAACCACCACCCTCCTGCCCCCCATGTCTATCCGCCATGCAGAACAGGGGCCTTGCGTCCTTCCAGGGCACATATAAATTAATCCAAGGCATGATAAAGTGAATTTTTGCTGATGTCCCCTCAGCCACAGGAGGTGACCAGCAAGCTGGCCAGTGGCAGCTGGGCAGCAGCAGTGGGAAGGTTTTCTGGCCCTGTCGCCCTCCTCTCCTCCTCTCCCCCCAGGGGACTGGGCAGCAGCCAGGTTTGGCTCTGCAGGAGAGTAGTGAGTGACCCTGTGGGACTCTTGTCCCAATGAAGCTGCTATTGTCCTCCCCAATGCCCAAACAAAAGGTTCTCTCTGTTTGAGCATCAGGAATATAATTTCACAGCGGACCCCTGTGATGAAGCATCTCCTCTCAGAGAAGATGGGCATATAAATATTATCCGTCTCTGCCGCTCTTTATTTCCCTTGTAAGTCGTTGCCCCATTTCTCCATCTGATGGATTCCCCGTCACAGCCAGGGCAGGAGCTTCCTGACTGTGCAGTCCTGCAGCAGCCTCTAAAACAATGCCCGTGCCTTGGTCACCTATTTCTCCTCTCTCCCTGCCCACTCCCCACCCTGTCCTGTGGCCCGTCCATCCTGAGCTCACGTCCCCCACCATCCCTTGTTGTGAAGAATGATGGCCAGGAGGGGGTGGCCTTGATCGTGGATTTCGTACTGCGTGCATAACTACCTGCAAACCTTCCTAAAATAGGAGCAAACAACTCTGATGAAACGGCATCGGGCAGGTGAGA